TGTTACATATATCACTAAATGGTGTTTTAGGGGTGCAAGAAATAACTTGTGGGCTGCTCCTTTTACTAGATAATATCCTTTCAGAAACGCTGCTGTTTTTTTGTAGACCGGTGTTGAATTACAAATGCCTGCACCTGCTTGAAAACCCCACCGGCTCAAGTATGATTGGCTGTGGAACCAGGAAGTATGGTGCTAGAACAGACTGTAAACAAACCCTCTTAGTCCTTTTTAAAAGGAGAACAACTGACAACCACCCAGCCAGCTGAGAAGGAAATCGGTTTCAGTGTAACTTCCTTCCAGCATGGTTGCGACTTTAATTTTGTAATTATTTCACTGTAGAATTCTTGCTTACTGTACCTTTAACAAGGGGAACGAGGCGCTTAAACGGTCTAATTTGTTTTGTTTTCTCACCTTTGGATCTTCACAGCTTCCGTCCAAGCTGAGGCCGCAGCTCAGCGCTAGTGTCTTGTACACCTTGATAATGTCATATGTAACCACCACATGCAAGTTGTGACCAGCTGATTGTCTGTTGAGACAGTCTTTCACCTGCTCCAGCCTTTCGCTGACTGTCAAATCATTATCCAGTGGAGGAGGAGCCAGACTGGAGCTCAGACCTGGGATCAAACAAATGAAAGCATAAAAAACACTTTGGAAGGTTACCAATATCTACCTCTATGTAGTTTTCACCACCTTTGCACTGCTCCTGCTGCAAGGATAGATAATATGCATCCTTGGCTCCCCAGCAAATAGAGAGTCCAATCAGAACGAGCTCTTCATTGCCTCTTACTGGAAAACCATCAGCGGTATTCAGCCTCTGATGAGCTGCACAAGAACCAAACACAGTTAACGTACCATTTTAAAACGTGTCTCACAAAATGAAAACTGCACCTACACAAATCCCGATCACAAACTGGGGGGGGGGGGTGCTTGGTGATACTTTAAATATTATAGTAAAGTGGCGTTGGTGGGAGGGTCAGGTACCTCTGTTATGCTTCCCTCCAAGTTCCCCCTCAGGCTGGTGTCTGGGCTCTCTCTTCTCACAGGCCAAAGCAACAGAAAACCTCTCCTTTGTTTTCCACTCTTTGACAAAAGTATAAAACAGACGTTTATCACTCGCCACATCGATGATGGAGAACAGCTCCGAGTTGCTACAGCACAGCGAGGCATCCTGGGAGAGCTGAAGACTGAAGCCATCAAGACTGGCATGATGCTCTGCGTCGGTGGGTGCCTGTAGGTGGAGGTGGGGAGGGGGTGCACCCTCCATAGGGAGGTAAAGGTTCTGGTTAACCCGAGGCAGGGGTTTCGTTTTTAAACTTGAACTTGTGGCAGAATTTGCTTTTGTCACCATTTCTGCTTCCTGTTTACAGGCAGAAGCCAAAACGCCTTCTGACAGCTGATTGTTGTTTCCTGTTTGAGCGGTTTGGTGTGTGGGAAGCTTCCTGGCTGCTGGTTTCTCTTGAACAGGGTCTGAGGGACCTGACTGTTTACGGGGCTGAGTGGTTACAGGCGACTGGACCGCTAAAGTAGTCAGTTTTACTCTCGGTGTGACCGGCGGTTTCTCCTGGGTTGGTGGGATGAGGTCACCAGCAGAGCCTGGTCTCTCTGGAGTGTTCTCGCTGGTTGAGCTTCGTCCATGTTGGAAGCCATTCTTTGCAGCATCAGACTGATGTGATATTTTCCTTTTCCTGTCTAGCTGCATCTCTGGTTGTGGTTTCTCTGCGGCAGCAACAGCAGCTTGTGTTTGACGGTTTGTTGAGCCGGACTGGTCAGACATACTGGGCCAGCGATCAAAGATTTCTTGTAAACCTGGGCTGCAATAAAAATCCTTTTGAGATCGGTTTGAACTCAGATCCATTTCCTCTAAAGTGTCTTCCTCTTTGTTCGCCTCCTTCTCAAGCTGCATTGCGATTTCACCCTCCTTATGACTTATTTCCTCTTTTTCTTCAATTGGTTCTAGATCTTCATCGTTAAATATTTTCTCACCAAGGACTTGATCGTTGTCGGCCCTGTCCGTGACGCCCTCCTTTAGGTGGGTAAAACGAAGCGGCGGCTGTATTCGACTGTGTCCAAACGGTGAAATCAACAGCTGTTCTCCACACAGGTCCTGGTCTTCCTTCGCTTCCTGCAGCTCTCTTTCCGTGTCTCCCAACAAACTATGCCTTTCCAAAAAGTGTTCACCCACCAAGAGCGAGTCCCCCCATTCAGATAGGTTAAAGAAGGACTCTCCCCACCGGACCGCTTCCTGCTCTTCTGCCTCCTGGTTGGCGAGAAGCTCGCTGCGTCGTCTCTGCTGGGTTGATGGAAGAGAACCGTGAACGGCATCTCCCTGGCTAGAAGATTCATCATCCTCTGGTTGGTCAGGCCTCTGGTGTGGGCCCAGCGCTTCCAGGACAGGGCTGTCGAACATGCTGTCAAACAGGAAGCTGCTGCTTCCGTTAGGACTCTCAGTTTGATGAGCATCTTCATCTTTATCTTGGTCCTTGACTGGCCTGAGTGATATCTGTGAAAACGGCATTGTGAATCCTGAATTTAGAGGTCAACCATGTTTAAATTCACTATTATTTAGCATTCACTTACCTGATGGCTGGTGTTGAGGATGAGCTCCAGCTGGCTCTCTGTGAAAGAAGCATCAAATCTGGGAGACGCCACATGAAGACCTTCCAGCCCACTTCTCTCACCCATCGTCTTTGCGGGCTCTAGGGCGGCATCCATTGTTTCGTCTTCTGTGTCCTTCTGTGTCTCCACCAGCTGATCTTTAGCTCCATCTCTGTAAGACTGCTGAGCCATGATTCTTTCCGTTTGAGTGTCTAGGTCAAAGCTGTCTCCAAAGCTTTGTCCATCCAGATTGATTTGTTCCTCACCTTCTTCATCTGTCTTATTTCCTGCGTATAGCTCTGGTGATGAAAAATTAGCGACCTCTCTGTGGTCAACCCTTCTCCGTTTGGCATCAGGACCCGACATGGGATCTGTGACGGTTTGAGGAGAGTTTGTTACTTCTGTAGGAGGAGGAGGAGGAGTTAAGGGCACCTGAGCTACAGGTGGTGGATGTTCAGAGGAAGAAATCATTCTGGTTACTGATTGTGATCTTCCGACGGGTTCTGAGATATCTTGCAGACTGTTTTGTGTTTTTATAGACTGAAGGACTTTGCTTAATGCTCTGGAATGTTTCAGCCTTCCCGGGTGTAGAGGCGATACAGTGAGTTTTGTGAGGCGCTCTCCGTTTGCAGAAACGTTTTGTTGCTGCTCTAGACGTGATATCGGGGCTCTGAAACGTGGAGGAGACACCGGAGATGCTACGAGCTGAGGCTGTGGCAGCATTTGAGGTAGAGGACTGGATATAATCTCAGCTAACTCTTGCGTTAAGGTCCTCTCAGCAGCAATAGGCTGATGCTTCCCTGGTCTTTCTCTGGTCTCTCCTTCCTTCGATGTGATTTGTTTGCACTCTTGTTCTGACCGTCCTTTAGCTTGGCTTCCTTTATTATTTACAGCTGATTTATTCATCATTACCTCCGTGCTTTCTTTGTGTCTTTCCATCAGATCTTCACAAACGGTTTGTCTGATTTCTGCTTCAGTCATGTTTAGATTTCTTGTGTCGGCATCAATCCTCTTCATCTGACGTTTAAAATCTTTTCTGACCTCATCTCTGAGCTTTTCAGAGACTTTGCTTTTCTGATTCCTCTTTTGATGCTCCTCGGTCCTGTCTGTCCGTGCTTCACGTGGACCAATACAGAAGACAGGTGAGATACCCAAGTCTGGATCATCAGGGCTGGATTTGGACGGAGGAAGTGCTCCTGGATCCCACTTAACTCCAAGCTGAGCCAGGTCTCCTTGAAGCAGGAGTCTTGCCTCCGACACAATCTCAACAGCTGCTCCCTGTTCCGTCAGGGCCTGCCCCCCCGTGACCCACACGCAGCGCAAGCTTCGTCTCTCCACCGCCTCCATCTCACTCTCGTCGACCGCACGCTTGGAGCTGATGATCCAGACAGAAAAAATTCATTTTAAACCTGGAGTCAAGTCTACTAGTAATGTTTTCCCGGAGAACATAAAAAAATCAACTAACAGCTGATGTTAACAGACTGATGCTTATGGAGCACGTTTGATAAGCAGCTGAAATGCAGTGGCAACCTTAAGTCCAGAAGTTGAAGAGTGAGATTTGAGTTTGTTAATCAAGGTTTCTACACGTTCTTTTGGGACCAACATCCTGGATATGATGTTATAATTTAACGGGGAGAGCATAAACTTGTAGACACGCACCTCTTGAATGGGACTGCGTTCCTCAGGGCCTTCTCTACGTCAGCTACAGACGCCCGGGCGAGTTCAGCAACAGTACACAGGCCTTGAACGTAGAGTGCCCTGGCTCGTGTTGCATTGAGAAGGGAAACCCTGACCAGATCCACAAGTTCCTTCTGGACTCCAAAGCTCAGCCGGGTCTGGTACTGGGACAGCAGCAGCTCCATGTTGTGCCAACCCAGACGTTTGCAGAACACAGTCACCATACCTGAAGGGGTAGCAGGGAGGTCTGTGAGATTCTCTCCAAGCTGAAATTCCTGTCAGCAAAAATGTTCCTGCTTTGATTTATGATTGGTGATTATTTAGAGCAGAGGAACTCCAACACTTTCCATCTTCAACTCAAAATAAATGATTCTAATACAGAAAAATTAGGTAACAAAGCCTTCTAAACTGGATGCTGATGTTGAGTACTGCTTTACCTGCATATTGTATAGTTTATATATTTAATAATATAATAATCACTGGTCTCTGAAGCATCTACTTAATGCATCCTAATTCACAGTATTTACAGAAAAATAAACAAACTTCTGAGCATGTTTCTACCTGCGTATGTAGAAGCAGACTGCTGCAGAGACTGTAGCTGCCCGCGGCTGCAGCTGTATTTAGAAGAAACAGCTCCCAAAGGCACCTCACTGACCAGATCCTGCAGTACGAGCGTCGTGAAGAACCTGTGTAGAGATTACAAAGACGTCTCTTCAGTATTTGTATTTTGTGTGAAATAATTAAGTCTCCTACACCTATCTCCTGCATCAGCTTCTGATAGATAATAGTCTCCTACACCTATCTCCTACATCAGCTTCTAATAGAAAATAGTCTCCTACACCTATCTCCTGCATCAGCTTCTGATAGATAATAGTCTCCTACACCTATCTCCTGCATCAGCTTCTAATAGAAAATAGTCTCCTACACCTATCTCCTACATCAGCTTCTAATAGAAAATAGTCTCCTACACCTATCTCCTGCATCAGCTTCTGATAGAAAATAGACTCCTACACCTATCTCCTGCAGTAGTTTCTGATAGAAAATAGTCTCCTACACCTATCTCCTGCAGTAGTTTCTGATAGAAAATAGTCTCCTACACCTATCTCCTGCATCAGCTTCTGATAGAAAATAGACTCCTACACCTATCTCTTGCAGTACTTTCTGATAGAAAATAGACTCCTACACCTATCTCCTGCAGTAGTTTCTGATAGAAAATAGTCTCCTACACCTATCTCTTGCAGTACTTTCTGATAGAAAATAGTCTCCTACACCTATCTCCTGCAGTAGTTTATGATAGAAAATAGTCTCCTACACCTATCTCTTGCAGTAGTTTCTACTAGAAAATAGTCTCCTACACCTATCTCCTGCATCAGCTTCTGATAGATAATAGTCTCCTACACCTATCTCCTGCATCAGCTTCTGATAGAAAATAGTCTCCTACACCTATCTCCTGCATCAGCTTCTGATAGATAATAGTCTCCTACACCTATCTCCTGAATCAGCTTCTGATAGAAAATAGTCTCCTACACCTATCTCCTTTACCGTTTATGAACAGCCATCTGTCTGTGCTGCTTCTCTGTCTTGGCAACGAGTTTTCCACTGACAGATCGAGCCAGAAAACCCTCCTGGACTCCAACCAGCTCGGCCACTCTCTTCATCGAAGACGGCAGCTGCTCCCACAAACAGAAGAACTGGTACCAGTCTATGGTGGTCCACTCCGCATACAGTGGGGTGATCTGAAACGCACGGGTCAGGATTTCTCATTCTAGCTCATTTTATGGCACGACTTATTTAAGTTAGGTAAAAATTACATTGTGTACCAGATACAGAATGTGCAGATCATTTTCAAGTACAAAGCCCTTCATGGCCCGCTGGAGATCTGCAAATATTCCCAGAGCCTCCGGAGGGGAAAGTGAGGATGAAAGGGTGGCAGAACCAAGCTGGGTTGGACGATACCGCTCATCTGAAAATGAAGCATCAGAGAGGATGTTTGACAAGGTAAAATGTGTTGTGTAGCGGTGTACTCATGAATAGTTTCAACTGATCTAAGATCAATAAAAAAGCAGCCAGCAGTGGCATCACCTTGTCCATCCCTCTGAATACGAATGAATTCATTTTCTATCAGCCATTCAACACAGGCCTCAATAACTCCTCTGCTGGTTTTTTCATCCGATCCTGTCCGGCTGTCACATTTCACGCCGGCAGCTAGAAGTGAATATGATGCGTAAAGCCTCACATCCTGAGGAGTGCTAGCCACGCCGCCAACAATGATCTGGATGTGAAAAACACACAAAGAAAATCATTTATGCTGCCAGAGCTCCCACTGTTGTTAATGTAACTTTGACATCAAACACACCTCCAGGAGAGCTCTCAGCATGCTGGTGGTTACACCTTCACCTTCGCTTTTCACCAGGCAGCTGCTGATTGGCTGCAGAGACCCATTAAGAAGGCTAATACCTTTCTGACGCTCTGTCGGCTTACACACCAGAAAACTCTCACCTATGGTAGAAAAAGAAAAAAACTCCAAACACTAAAAGTAATAATTAATAGGGATGTGTATTTTTGAAATTCTGGCGATACGATACATATCACAATACAGGGGAGACGATACGATATATCACGATATATTGCGATACATTCAGTCAGACGTAACAAGCAATTTTTTTACTGAATTTATTGTAAGAATGTTCAATAAACAGTCCGAACTGATGCGTAACATGTTTAACATGAGGAATCTGAACCATGATGGAGGGATTTACATTTCAGTGGTGGAAACAAAACCCGTTGCACACTGCTGCCAACTAGCGGGTGGCGATTGAATTGCGCAAAACGTAAAGAAAATACACAAAAGTTTGCATGTAAATTGTTTCAGGAATTAGATACACGGCTTTTGAATATCGATGTAATAATCGCAGGAAAAATTATCACAATATATTGCCATATCGATATTTTCTTACATCCCTAATGATTGAAAATAGTTAATCCACTATCATTCCTCCTTACCTACGGTGTCCACTCCTTTTCTTCCTGCTCGTCCAGCCATCTGTTTGTAAGTGAGTGGGTCCAGCAGGTGGCCGTTAAACGTCGGAGTTCGTATGATGACCCTACGAGCTGGAAGATTAACCCCTGAGGAGAGGGTGGATGTGGCAGCCAAGACCCGTACCAAACCCCGACGGAAAGCTCCCTCCAACACGTCTCGCTCGTCAAACGTCAAACCTGCAGAGGGACACTATATTTCGTTTACATACTCAAAACAGGCAGTTTTCCAGGGTTTTAATTGTTAAAGGTTGAGTGAATGTGTGTACCAGCATGGTGGAAGGCCACCCCCCAGGGCACGGTGCGCTGCAGGATGGGGTCTAAACATGCTGGAGTTCTCCTCAACTGAGCTATAACATCCACCAGGCCCTCCTGGTCCAGACACACCGGCTGGGGATCAGCTTCACCCTGGAGACCTGGAACATAAATCACAATCTGAATTTTTAGTGTAAAAAAAAGCATCGCGTTGAAAATAGATGTGCAGTGCGCAGAAACGGTCCCTCAAATGAATTAGTTGATCTGAGTGCATTCTGAACTACATTATATGTAATAATAATAATAATAATAATAATACATCAAACTTACCGTAAATCCTCTAATACAGGCCTGGTCCTGTATTTGATTCAAGCTCATCAAGCTCCAGGCCTTTATTGGAAGGAGGGCCAGAATTAGAGGCAGGCCTCAATTTCTATTTGAGCAAAATGAACTAATGGTTCGCTGGAGTTTTTGAATTAAAATTGCGCCCACATTTTCAAAGTTAAACACATTTCTTTTAACAACTGTAGTTTCTGCTTCAGCCCTCTCCCCCCTCCCCCTGCGCAGCGGCCGCAAACTCACTGATGCGCCTGCAGCCTCTCGGAGTTCCTGCTGCTCTAAACATTAATATAATTATTTCATTTTCTGTTCCTCACTTCTGATTACCTTCAATGGTGTCTGTTTGTTGCAACCACCAGGTACAAAAACTAACTTGTTTTTATTTGACTGTTTTTCTGTCCTGTCTGTTTATTATCTTCCTGCATCTCCTCTCAATCCTAAAGAAAAACTGCTACCTGGGTTCATATATATTCACCTCATGAGTTACCTTTGAACTGCAGTTCTAAAAGATCTACCGACCGCAAAAACAGCGGAGTGCTCCCTGCTTGGAGGCCGCATCAGTGATCGGTGTGTCACCGGATGACAAGTTGATGCGCCCCGCTCCACAGCAGCGAAACACATCAGGCACAAATAAAAGACAGAAAACATTAAAGGAAATGAACCGACATGAACGATCGCGCGTCAGTACCGACGCTCTGGCACAGCGCTTTGCCCCCCCCGAGCGCAGGAGCTTGTCACCTGCTGACAGCAGGCTGCTGTCTTTTCCGAGGGCTGCATCTTGCCGATCATTATCACGTGACAGCGACTAGTCGACGACAGGCATAAAAAGTCACTATAGTGAAGTCGACTAGTTCATACAACCCCTATTGCTCCCCAGTGTTCTGCAGCGCACGTTCTCTTTGAACTTGATATCAAATTTTCGCCTCCTCTTCGTCTCCGCACGGTTAAAGTTACCCTCGCGGTCTATCACTGGCAAATCAAAAGTGAGACGATGACACAACCGCCCCCCGTACTTGCTTGTTACCACATTCCACCCGGCCACAATAAGAGACCGGCCATTATTCACCTCCACCGACTCCGGCCAACATATGAGACCCGGCCGTTAATTGAACACAGGCCTGTATTAGAGGATTTACGGTATATAGAGCTTTTTAGGACACTCAAAGACGCTTTCATGCACTCTCACATTCACACACCGCTAGTGATGGTAAGCTACTTTGTAGCCACAGCCGCCCTGGGGCGGTCTGACGCGTCCTTGTTTACATTTCATTTGCACTCGTACCCTGTTGTCTGAGTTTGAAGAACTCTCTGGCGATGATGTCTGACAGTTTTTCACACCAGTTCTTTGAGGGGCAGAACAGCAGCACAGAGTGGCCTTCTCTCACGGTCTCATAACACAAACTCACAATGTGATCATCGTCACCCTTAAAACAGAAAACAAAAACAATCGTGTTACTGTTAGAGGGAAAATGTATTAAAAAAACATGCAAAGATTTAGATTATTTACGCCTTTTAAGAACAACACGCAAACCCGAAATAAATAAATGTTTATAGATTTAGCGCTCCCTGGGCTGCCACATTACCGTGGTGGAGGGGTTTGAGGGTCCCGGTGATCCTAGGAGCTAAGTTGTCGGAGGCTTTATGCCTCTGGTAGGGTCACCCATGGAAAACAAGTCCTAGGTGAGGAATCAGACAAAGTGTAGCCCACAGACCCCTTATGATGATTAACATAAATGGAAACAGTGTTCCCTTGCACGGACGCAGGTCACCAGGGCCCCCTCTCTGGAGCCGGGCCTGGAGGTGAGGCACGTTTGGCGAGTGTCTGGTGGCATAGTTTTCACCCATGAAGCCCAGCCGGGCACAGCTCCAAGAGGAAACCTATGTCCCCATTTCCATAGGTTCACCACTTGCGGGACGGCCCAAAGGGGTCGGGTGCAGTGTGAGATGGGTGGTAGCTGAAGGTGGGGACATTGGCGGAATAATCTTCAGATGCAGAGGCAAGCTCTTGGTATGTGGAGCGTTACCTCTCTGGTAGGGAAGGAGCCTGAGGTGGTGTGGGAGGTTTAGAGGTTCCGACTAGATACAGTCTGACTCACCTTGATGCAATGGCTCTGGAACCAGTTTCCTTGAGAGGGGTTTGACGCTCTACCACTCTGGAGTTGCCCCTACTGAGGAGAGCAGAGGTGGGCGTACTTGATGCCCTCCGTCTTGGTGCCTGTACGTTGGGGTTTACCCTGGTGAATGAGAGGGTAGCCTTCCGGTGACTTCCTCGTTCTGCTGGGGGACTTTAACTCTCACGTGGGCAATGACACTGAGATCTGGAGTGGTGTGGTTGGGGGGAATGCCACACTCCACCAGCATGAAACCGAGCAATGTTTTGTTATTGGACTTTTGTGCTCGTCATGGATTGTCCATAATGAACACCACATTCAGACATAAAGGTGTCCATTTGTGCTCTTGACACCAGGATACCTTAGGTCCCAGCTCAATGATCGACTTTGTTGTCATCTCATCCAATCTGCGGCCGCATGTCTTGGACACTCAGGTGAAGAGAGGGGCGGAGCTGTCAACTGACCACTACCTGGTGGTGAGTTGGCTTTGATTGTGGGGGAGAATGCAGGTCAGACCAGGCAGGCCCAAACGTATCGCGAGGGTCTGCTGAGAACATCTGGCAGAGTCTCCTGTCAGAAGGAGCTTCGATTCCCATCTCCGACAGAACTTTGAAAGACTTGTCGGGGAGATGGGGGACATCGAGTCCGAGTCGGCCATATTTCAGACCTTTATTGTTGAGACAGCCAACAAAAGCTGTAGTCGCAGGGTCATCGGTGCCTGTTGTGGCAACAACCCCCAAACCTTCTAGTGGACACCGGCAGTTAGAGATTCTGTCAAGCTGAATCAAGAGTCCTATCAGTTAAGTTTGGCCTGTGGGACTCCAGAGGCAGTTTATTAATAACAACAGTCCAAGCGGTCCAACTTCAGGGGGATCACATTGCCGTGCATCCCTGGTAAAGTCTAATCAGGGGTCCTAGAGAGGAGGGTCTGTTGGATAGTGAAACCTCGGATTCAGGAGGAGCAATGTGGTTTTCGTCCTGGCCGTGGAACACTGGACCAGCTCTATACCCTTAGGGGGGTCGTGAACGGTGCGTGGGAGTTCGTCCAACCAGTCAACATGTGTTTTGTGGTTTTGGAGAAGGCGTTTGACCGCATCCCTCGGGGGGGCCCTGTGGGGGGTACTTTGGAGTACCAAGCTCTCTGATAAGGGCTGTTAGGTCCCTGTATGACCGACGTCAGAGCTTGGTCTGTATTGCCGGCAGCAAGTTTGGCTAGTTTCCAGTGAGAGTTGGACTCCACCAAGGCTGCCCTTTGTCACAGATGTGTTCATAACCTTTATGGACAGGATTTCTAGGCGCAGCCAAGGTGTTGAGAGGATCTCTAGGTCAGGGACAAGGCCCTGCTTCAAGTGGAGGAGTTTAAGTATCTCGGGGTCTTGTTCATGAGTGAGGGAAAGACGGAGCGTGAGATCGATAGGCGGATTGGTGCTGCATCTGCACTGATGCAGACGTTGTGTCGGTCTTTTGTGGTGAAGAAAGCGCAGAGCCGAAAGGTGAAGCTGTCGATTTAAATTCAATTATTTACAAGCAACTTCATTGTCATTACATGCACTCTAACATTCAAATCCCCATTGAGAATTGTTAACTACGTCAGCTACCTTAACACTGAGAGCCGGCTTGAACTGCTGCACCACAGACAAGCTCTTGTCAATGATGTCGCTGCCCACTTTGAGGTGTTCCTGCAGAGGTACAGGTCTGTATTCTGTCTGGTAAAGCTCTGCGCCTAACCAGCTGGCCAGGAGAGACAGGTTAGGCAACGTGGCACTCATACCTATTATCTGCACACCCTCGGCAAGAGATCTGTATAGAAGAAGAATTAACACAAGGGATGAGTGATGTTCATGAATCAGTTAAGGTTAGAAAAAAAAAGTTCAGGGAAAATGACCCTGTGGTGCTCTGCTTCTGTCCGATATAGCGGATTTTGGTTAAGAGCAATTCCAGCAAGTATCCTCGTCCAGAATCTCCAACCATGTGCAACTCATCCACCACCACCATACCTGACATAGCAAAAATACCACACTTCAGTGCAATAATGCTAACCTTTTTTATGTATCCTTATGCCGTTAAAATGAGAAAAAAAAAATGAAAAAAAATTATTATTAATAACAATATAGTCATTATTATTGCTTTTGAATAAAACTTCCCTCTGGGATTAATAAATTATTTTTGAAATGAAACTCTAAACCAGCAGGTATTTTATTGTTGTTCTGCTAATTTACCAATAAAACTTTCCTTTTATGCCAAAGCACATAAAAACAGAAGTGTTACCTAGGAGACCCATGTTGTCTTCTTCAATGAGCTTATTTATTAAAGAGTTTGCTTTTTCTATAGTGCAGACAGCCACATCCAGCTTTGAGAAACCTCCAGCAGCTGATGTGCTTCCCATGTAGCCCTCCACTCTGATGCCAGCCTCTTCAAATATGCTCTGCAGAGAAAAACACAAACAGCGTGAGATCTGTAAACAACAGTGTTCAAAGTGTCCATCTCTTTCTCACCTGCAGGTAGTGCATCTTCTCTTTAGCCACAGAAACAAACGGCAGGATGAAAAGTGCTTTCCTTCTGGTTTCCAACACCCGCTTCAGAATGAGCAGCTCTGACACCAGAGTTTTTCCAGCACTAGTCGGTGCTGAATTTAATAACAAATTAATAATCAATAAAAAAAAAATTTTTTAAAAAGCCTCCTCTGCTTTTAACTTAGTAGAAAAGAGTTTCTCACCAGAGTACACCAGGTTGCCCCCCTGCAGGACCCGCCCCACAGTGAGGCACTGAGCCTGCCACTCAAACATCTGAGTGACTCCATGTTTCTGGTAGCGCTCTAGAACTGGTTTCGGTAAACCCCAGCTGGACAGGAGCAGCTTTTCAGCCTGCTGACCAGGAGCACACAAGGCAACGCCTGCAAAAGAAAACAAAGTACCTCAAGGTGATAAATCTAACTGTTTACAAAAATCTCAAGAAGTCAGCCTGCAAAAGACCCGCTGCACCAAATCCTCTAAATTCACATTTGACAGTTTTGTACTTTTTATTTAATTTAAATGTGAGAATTTGCACTGCCTGGCTTCTAGGATGAACCGTTTTTAAGTTTCTTTTACTTCTATCTTCAGTTATGGGTACTTCTAATGTTTTTACGTACAGCGACTTCCCCTACCCTGCTGTTGTTTTTATGAGTGCTTTCTTTCTTCACAAAGTAAACATTCCAGTCGAGTTAAGTTTTTTACGCCAATTAGTTTTCCAATGTAAGGAAACCAGCAGATTGCATCGACTGACTTGTGTCAGAGACTTACAGCAATCCTCCGATTTAGAGCGGAGAAAAACTCCTGTTTACCAGGAAGAAACCTCCAACAGAACCTGGCTCAGTATGAACAGCCATTCACACTCACACACACACTTTCTTTTGTGTATTTATTTTGCTTTTTGCAAAGAAGCACCAAAGCACAGACATGAAATCCTCCGATCACCGGGGAACCTGCTCTACTTCCTGAACTACTGTTGCCCCACAAGTTTATAATGTTAGTGTTTAACTAACCTATCCTAAAAGATTATGGGGACATTATGAGGACAAGGACACAAAAACAGATTTTAAAGCTGGGTTTCACCTGGTTCAGGTAATGTGTCACTGAGAAAGCTGAGCTCCAAGCCACTGGGGGCGGTGAGCACTGAAGTAGACTGGTTCTGTAATGACTGCAGGAGTTTGGCCCTCTTTGTGGCTGCTGTGATTCGAGAGGGGCTAAATAAGATATAGTTTGTAGATAAATCCAGAGCTGGATCAGCATTCGTACTCGATCTGCATCTGTCACTGTTGGGAGGAAAATGTTTTCTTGTGACCTTATGCCTGTAAGGAAACACAGACAGTGATTGGGGTGGTGCAGAAAAAAAACAACAAAAAGATGAAAAATTTGAAGATACATTCAAGTTAACACTTGCTTGTCGGAGCTGCCTGCTTCCTGGTTGTTTTCTTGAGAAGGAAGAATTCTAACAGTAGAAGGGTTGGAACGGCAGTTGTCTGGGTCCCTCTGAGCATGATCCACTTCCTCAGAGTCCTCACTGAAGAGAAGCTTCTGAGCAAGGTCTTTGCAGTCAGCTCTCCATCCTGGTGACTGCTGACAGACCCACCGCTGAGAACCAGGCTCTCTGTTTGGTCCACCGTCTGAATGCTGGGGACATGGCCTGCCTCTCACCTGTACTGAGTTTCTCTCCTTTTCGCTGTGTGCAGTCAGTGCTTGGGGTTGTGGAAGATCACAAACAGCTGATGTTGCTGCCGGTTCTTCCACATCGTGTCTATTTACTGAACAAGCCTTGTTTTTAACAGCGGTTGAATGATCGACAGCATCCAGAACCTGCATCAGCTCTTCATCAATAGCCAAAGTGGATTCCCCAAACTCCACCGCAGGCCTTCCACCCTAAACACGTTAATAATACGACTTTTTATCTAGATGGACGAAACAGTAAATGTTTATTTACATATTCACACTGACCGTGAAGGAATTTCTGCTGATGTGTGATTTATTTGTTTTGTCTGGCAGAAAGCACGTTTTCTGCAACTTCTCTCCATCTGATGCCTCATTGTTGCCTAAGATGCTTTGCCATGAAGCACAAAACAGACACAACTTATAACAGATCCCTCTCAGGGGGAAACAAAAGCAATTATACTTCAAAGGAGCGATATATGAACACGTCTGCCTAACCGTACCTTGTCTTCTTTTTGATCTGATGCTGCCCCAAGTAAATTTTCTTCTTTTGAGGACCCGAGGTCATCCTTAAGTCGAACTTGTTTTGACACAAGTTTTAATAAACGTGCGTTTAACATGACACGCATGTAAGTGATGTAACTCTTTTCACGAGACTTAAACTCACAATTTTTAAACAATAAAAAACGCCATTATACCTGGATTTGTTTTACGTTCTAAGTTCAAACAGTAAGCGAAAACAAATCAAAAAGAACCGCCGGTGTAACACCAAAGTGCTCCCCCTGTGTTTCATCTAAGCTGTCCGGTGGAAATACACTGCGCTTACCAAAGTTCCTACTTACCACGAGCGCAACTAAACAAAACCTAACATCACCATGCAGCGTACGATCGTTTTGGTTTTATTAGTAGCACAAATGTATACTTCTACCAATGCTTAATGAAACTTTCTTCATCAAACGGTAATCATTTTTAAGTGTAATAAAGTAAAGTTTGGGTCTTTTTCATAGTAAAGTTCATTTAAAATAAAATAAATTTTTAGAAATAGCCATCACAAATTATTATAAAGATTGACAACAATAAATTAAAGAACAGGCTTTTAAAATCACTTAATATTAAAGATGTGAATGATTTTAAATAAAACTGTATGAAGAAGGCAAGCGGCCAAGGGAACAGACAAGATCAATTTCAACAGTTTAATGATATTTGCCAGCTTCTCAGTATGTATTTTGTCCAAAATTAGACCAACATTTAGATTTCTCTTTGGCACTTTTTTCGCTTGAATAAATGAACAATTGTACATTTCTATTTTCAACTTTTGTACACTTACACATGTATATGTATACATATACATATTTATACATATACATGTGCCTTACCAAATCGAATGGGGGCTGTCTGTCATCCAGTGTATGGCAGGCTGTTGTAGCATATAAGATGTTTGGGCCACTGAATTCTGACTTTGTTTGTTGTTGTTAGCGTTGTTGTTAAATTTTAGAAAATAAAAGAGCAACGCATAATAATCTAAGTAAGATTACGTTAAACCTCCGAATTTTGAGATTACAGTCTGACTTTTCAGAATGATGTCCACAACATTCATTCTAAGTAGGACATTTTAATTTGTTTGATCATGTAAGCAATACTTGGAAAAAATTTAAAACAAAAGATAAAAAGACTGTCATTATGTGAAAATGTAGCCCAGATATTCAATTTAAACGGTTTAATTTAATTTATTTTTTAACAATTTTTACGATTCTCTAACGTTTGCAGAAGTGAACATGTTAATGCTTAATGTGGGATAGACATGAATTATTGACACCAGCCTACTCCAATACCATGTACATTTGTAAAAAAATGTTTTGTTTATATATAGATATATTATTTATGGTCATTGTCATTTAAAATGAAGTACAACATATGTACGAATTGTGTGATTCATAGAATACGTCGACGCCCCATTGGGTGCTGGAAAGCGTAACAGCGTTGCCACTGCCGTATTAGATGGGTTCCTCACTCTCCAAACACAACTGGAGTCAACATAGAGTAAGAAACAATGCCCATTTTTGTGTAGCTTACGGTTTAAACAACCAGTGTGCTATTGAAAACTAATCACGTGGGATTACTATAGACTTTTCAACCCTACCTGTTGGGATTTTATATTTTAATTCATTTAATTTTATTATATTTATATTTTAATTATCGTGTCATGCCATAAGACAAATTTTCTGAAAAAGCAAAAGCAAATTTGTTTTTTAGTTGGGTAAGCACATTTCTCAGTGGAAATAAATGCACTGGGGGCAAATGGAGACCTATCCAAAATGGCGGCCGATCGCTACGGCAGCTGGAAGCTTGTGCACGGTGTCTGTGGCTCCATTCTTTTTTATTTTATACAAAACGTAAAGATTACCAGTTATACGCAGAGGTGGAAAGAGTACTAAAATATCCTACTTAAGTACGAGTACCAGTACTTTGATAATTTTTTACTCAAGTACAAGTAAAAGTACTTGCCTAAATTTTTACTCAAGTAAAAGTAAAAAGTACCGTAAATAAAATGTACTCAAAGTAAAAGTTACTTAGTTACATTTTTGTCAGCGTAAAGATGGCTACATCAGTGCTAAACCACAACACCAGTTCACAACACGCTCGTGTGTGCACGCACACACACGGACACACAGTTTGATGGAAGGATTTCTATCCAGTCAGTGAGAACAGGACGTGCACATTGATTGGACGAGGTTTTTCTTGGATTGTACGTTTCAATTGTGATTAAAATTATTCTTTATTTTGAAAAAAAAAGTTAATTTTTAGATGCCATCAGCATGTGAGGTATCTCAATGTTCTCAAGACAAAACTCTAACATGAGACTGTGCTCTAACCTGGCACATAACAAGCTAAATGAAAGTCTGGCATGTACACACACTTACACACACACCATCGACATTAATACCTGACTCCACTTAATCGTGCTATTTGTGAAATTTTTTTACACTTTTTTATTGAGAAGGTTTCCTCAACAAGGGCTCAAATCTGTCCTTGTGCTCATGACCCCTCAGTCTTTGTTTCCTGCTCTGTCTTTGGCAGGTTTGAGCCAGTGACCCTGTCCATTATAACGGAGACTGTTGGTCGTCTTAAGCCTGCAGGGTCTCCAAATGATGCTGTTCCTCCTCGGCTTTTAAAAGAGGTGTTACCTACAGTTGGTCCTCTGGTTCTTGAGCTGGTAAACCATAGTCTGATGTCAGGCGTTGTCCCTAAAGATTTTAAACATGCAGTAGTCAAACCTCTGATTAAAAAACCTGCTCTTGATCCACAGGATCTTGCGAATTACAGGCCTATCTCCATACTACCTTTTCTTTCTAAAATTCTTCAAAAGATAGTCTATAGCCAAATATTGGCCTTCTTGGAAAATCTAAATGTATTAGAGGTTTTCCAATCTGGTTTTAAACCCTTTCATAGCACCGAATCAGCCCTTTTAAAAGTTTTTAATGACATATTCTAAGCTACTGATGCTGGGGACTGTGTTGTTCTTGTGCTTTTAGATTTGACAGCTGCTTTTGATACTGTGGATCATGCCATTTTATTCTCTCGTTTGGAGCACTGGGTGGGCATTAGCGGCACAGCTCTCGAGTGGTTCAGGTCCTACTTGGCAGGGCGAACATTTTGTGTCAGTCTCTGTGACTATGTGTCATCCTCTGCTCCTCTCTTGTGTGGTGTCCCGCAGGGCTCGGTTCTTGGCCCTCTCCTCTTCTCTTTGTATCTTCTTCCTCTCGGGTCTATACTGAGTAAGCATGGCATTGCTTTCCACTTGTATGCTGACGACTGTCAGATCTATGTCCCTCTTCAGAACAAAGGCGTATACCACATACAGCCATTACTTCAGTGTCTTGATGACATAAAGGCTTGGATGTCTAGTATTAACGTTTTAAAATTCAATGATAAAAAGACTGAGATGATGATTTTTGGTAGTCCTACTGAGACCCCCAATGTGTATGTTGATTCCTTGGCCCAGTTTGTTAAGCCAACTGTCACAAACCTGGGGGTCATGTGGACTGTGATCTGACGTTTGAATATCAGATTAGGGCGGTGGTAAAATCTAGCTTCTTTCACCTCAGGCAGCTGACAAAAATAAAGCCAATTCTTTCACAGCAGCACTTCGAGACAGTGATCCATGTCTTTGTTACCACTCGGCTGGATTACTGTAACGCACTCTATATTGGGGTCAGTGCATCTTATATTAGTCATCTACAGAGGGTGCAAAATGCCACAGCCCGTCTTTTAACTGGCACTCCAAAGTTTGAGCACATTTCCCCTGTTTTAGCTTCACTTTACTGGCTGCCCATTTCTTTAAGGATTCATTTTAAAATTCTTTTTTTTTTTTTGCTTTTAAATGTCTCCATGGCCTTGCACCTTCTAATCTCTCTGTCCTGTTACAGCCTTACACTCCCTCCCGCTCTCTCAGGTCAGCTGATCAGCTGCTCCTGAATGTACCCAGGACTGGGCGTAAACTTATAAGGAGATCGCGCTTTTGCTGTAGCAGCTCCTAAACTGTGGAACGAGCTTCCTTTAGAGGTAAGACAGGCCAGTTCCTTACCTGTTTTTAAGTCACTCTTGAAAACACACCTCTTTACCCTTGCTTTTGTCACCTTGTGAGATGTCGGTTGCTATTTTTAGTTTTGACTTATTTTAGCTGTTTTTGGGTGTTTCAATGCTGTTTTTGCCTAGTTTTTATTCTTATTATTGGACTGTTTTAATTTTATGTCTCCTGTGTTTTATTTATTTCTCTTTGCTGCTTTCTGTTTATTCCTGCTTTCTGTTTATTCTATTGTTTTAATGTATTTTCTGTACAGCACTCTGTTCCTGTGCTGGGTGTTTTAAAGTGCTTTATAAATAAATGAACTGAACTATCTATAAATCACAGAGAAATAGATATAGAACTCTTCTGTATCTTCGTTCTGTGTGTTGATTGATAATTATTATTATTTATTTAACACAATGAAGTAATTAGATGTTTCTTTACCTTCGGCTGACATGTTTCAGCTGGAACTTTCGCCTTCGTCAGAGCCGTCAGCTGTTCGTGGCGTTTATGTGCAGGCAGCAAAGGGCGGCATCGTCCTTTTTTCTTATTCATCATTAGATTACAGGCCTTTATTAAAACTAACCACTAAATATTATAATATTTGTCATAGTATTTTCCTATTTTCACATGATTATTACAGCCGAACAAAATTAGATTCACACGGTCTCAGTTATTTGTGTGTGTGTGTGAGTGTGTGTGTGGGGGGGTCTTTTTTAAATGTATTACTTGTTACAGTGATTTCTATATTTCTTATACTAGTTTAAAGGTTTCATTTATACTAGTCATTACTTATACTAGTTCTTAGTCATGTTAGATTTTACTCAGTCTCTAACTGGTTCTTACACTATCGATCTTTCTATTGATCGATCTATCTATATCTATCTTTCTATTGATCGATCTATCTATCTTTCATGTATACTTGTCTTTACTCATATTAGTTAAATTTATACTAGTGTTTATGGTTTCATATATACTAGTCATTACTTATACTAGTTCTTAGTCATGTTAGATTTTACTCAGTCTTTAACTGGTTCTTTATCTATCTATCTATCTATCTATCTATCTATCTATCTATCTATCTATCTATCTATCTATCTATCTATCTATCTATCTATCTATCTATCTATCATCATCATCATCATCATCATCACTATCTATCTATCTATCTATCTATCTATCTATCTATCTATCTATCTATCTATCTATCTATCTATCTATCTATCTATCTATCTA